TTAGGCAGGTAATTACTAAAAAATCTCAAAATATGATTGGCTGTCCCGAAGCCACCTTTTGCTGGAGGTCCCCCCATTTACTAATTAATAACCAGTTTGTTGTTTAAAATAGTTATATAATTATGTATCACACATGTAAATAAACAAAAATTCTAAATTACAATATTGATATATTTGTTTATAATAATTATATTGATGCATCAAAAAAAATTAAAATACATCAAAAACACAACTTTTGTATTATATAATACATAAAAATTAAGTGTTACTACACTTTAAACAATTATGACTGTTTAAGAAGATGCAATTTCTGCTTTTTATATTTTTATTTCTATATTTTCTTTATTTTATTTTTATATTCTTTTATTATTAGTCTCTATATCTTTGTATTTTTTTTAGATAAATTTTTTATTTTCTATAAAAATATTATCAAATTGGCAATATCTTATTATAAAGCAGTAGCCTAACAAGTTTTTTAGATTAAATCTATTTTTTGATATGACAAATTACTTGTAAGTGCTTATAGAATTAATTGCGGAATGTCAGATATATAATTGATTTCAAAGTTATAATATTTGATTTTAGTAATATTTTTAGTAATATTAATAAACAATATTGACAAAGCTGCCAAAGTGACAAAAAAAATTTTATTCTTAATTTTATTTTTAGTTATAACTTTTAATTTTAATTTTTTATCTATAACTTTTAATTTTATTCTAATTTTTCTAATATTAATAAGTATTAACAATAAAATTATAATAAAAAATTATATAATATTTAATAACACTAATATAATTTATAACAATTATTTAATTTTTATATTAAATTATTATTTTTAAATTAGAGTTTTATATAAAAATACAATATATTTGATAATAAAAAACAAATATATATTAAAAATAAAACAATAAAAACAAATTTGGTTTAATTTATAAAAATATTAATAAATTTTTTAAAATAATTTATTTATTAATAAATATTTTATTTTTTTAAAAAAATATCAAAATAGTTGTCAGAAATTATACGTAATTAAAATATTGTAATTTAATACGTAAAAGTTTGTTCAAATAAAATTATAGATTTTACAAAGATTTTATACAATTATTACGTATTAAAACTAATGAGATGCTGAAACATTGAATATATCAGGTGACTTAATATTACACACGTATGTGTCGACAAAGGTGACAACTACGAGTGACATGAATTAAAATTTAAAACTTCAATTTTCACCTATAGAAAGTAGGGTCAGACATGATAATGAGATAAACTGTTTCAAATAAATAATAAGAACCATTATATTGAAAAAATTCAGTGATTTTATGATTAAATTAATCACGAACTCGTGATGTAAATGATGTTTTTATCACGAAATCATGATTAAATTAAATTCATGGATATTATCACGAACTCGTGATGTAAATGGTGTTTTTATCACGAATTCACAATTAGAACTCACAATTAGAACTCACGATCAGAACTCATGATTAGAACTCACGATCAGAACTCACGATCAGAACTCACGATTAGAACTCACTCACGATTAGACTCACGATCAGAACTCACTCACGATTAGAACTCACGATTAGAACTCACGATCAGAACTCACTCACGATTAGAACTCACGATCAGAACTCACTCACGATTAGAACTCACGATTAGAACTCACGATCAGAACTCACTCACGATTAGAACTCACGATCAGAACTCACTCACGATTAGAACTCACTCACGATTAGAACTAACGATCAGGACTCACGGTTAGAACTTACGATTAGAACTTACGATTAGAACTTACGATTAGAATTCTTACGATTTACGATAAATTATTTGATAACAATAAATTATTTAAAAACAGAAAACACGGAACGTGATCATTCTCTCAAAAGAAATGAAAAAAATCACCCCTATCTATAAAAAACATTAATGGAAACAGTTTAACGCATTACAGTTGATGTTTACAACTACATGCATTTTTGATAAACCTTCATGATCCAACATTAATATAATTAACATTTGAATAGCTACACAAAGTAAATAAAAAAAATAAAATAAAAATAAAATAAAAATAAAATAAAAATAAAATAAAAATAAAACAGGAATTACAGTAGATAAAAAGATTGATTATATAAAGATGATGTAAATATGAATTGATTAATCAGATAGAAAGATGAATTGATTAATCAAATCAGAATTGAAAAAGGCAGAAAACACTTTTACGTACGTACAGTAAGTACAATAAGTATATACTAAAAAGTTTTCGTTATCAATCTAATTTTAACATTTACAGCATCATTACCAATGTTTTCTTTATGAAGATCAAAAAAGTTAGAATTTAAATTATAACCAATAAAACAATATAAACATGATGCGAAATAATATGCGATGTAACGATTGAACGCGCATTCTATCACGCTTGTTTTGGACAAATAGAACAGTAAATAATTTTTTGAAGCAAGAATCAAACAGGGAGACTTACAAAAAGAACGTTTAAAAAGAATAACAATCAAACCTCCATTGGACATGATCATCCTTAAATATATCGTTATTTAAAAAAGTGGAGTTTAAAATTGATTGTGAACATGAGAACATAAAAACAAAGATAATCAAAGCGAATCATAAAGAGTTTTCGATCCTTATAATAAAACTCTTTAGGGATCATTTAGATCATTTAGATCATTTAGGTCATTTAAGAACATTTAGGGATCATTCAAGGATAAATATCACAAACAAATAGTGATACCCGATTTAGAAAACAACGAATAATAGTTTAATACAGTTTTCTTTAAAGCAATTAATCGATTACAAGCATGCAGTAAAAGCAAACTGTAGACACAACATGGATAATCATTGATGGCATGAAAACTCTACTAAAAATCACAATATGTTGCGATAGTGGTAAAAAAAATAGAGTTTCTTTAACCGCTAAATAACTAAATTCATTAAAAACTAAATTAATAATTTGAAAATGATAAGTATATATATATATTTAACAAAATATAAAATTATTTCATGCAATCATAATTAGATTATTTAGATTATTCAAGAAAATAACAAATTCTCACCGCCAATTTTTTTCAAGCAATAATTTTAAAAGATCGAACATACATGAATTTTTTTTTTTTCAATAATGACTGACATAATGACTGCAATAATGATTGCAAGAGTGGTTGCCATAATAAACATATTTTACCCTGAAATTTACCTGTGCATGAACTTACTTGCAAATTTCATTCGTTAACTTATCATGTACGATTTTGAAGAGGAAATAATTTCTTAATCTACTTTACAAAGAACTTACATATCGATAAAGAATCGATAAAGAATCGATAAAGAATCGATAAAAAAAAAAACCGCAAAAACCGTCTTTACATGCAACATGCATATGCGTATTACGCTATCGCTATCTGAACAGTAGATCAGTAAGCCCTGTAAGTTATTTGGGAATCCTTCTTGAAAAGTTCGATCATCGTAAAGAATACTATTTATATCATTGGTTCTTTGTATACACAAGGAATGATTTTCTCGTTGTTAATGAAAGTCAATGAAATTTAACGAAATTTAACGAAATTTAACGAAATTTAACGAAATTTAACGAAAGTTAACGAAAGTTAACGAAAGCTAACGAAAATTAATAAAGTCTTAAAGTGCAATGAGAAAATTTACATACTGTATAATGATTATAATGATTATAATGATTATAATTATTATTAAGAACTGGCTTTACATACTTAAAAAAATCTCGACATTTTTATGACGCGTGAATTTTAAGGAATTTGAGGAAATGCACGCATGTATGTACGTACGTACGTACGTATCTAACCGAGACCTACATGAGTTACATAAGTTACATAAGGTACGTAAGTTACGTAAGTTACATAGGTTACATAGGTTACAAAGTTTTACGTACAAAAGTTACATCGCGTAAAAACTATAATTTTCAAAATCTCAATTTCCCACAAACCGAAGATATGTATATACAAAATACTTTATTCTATTATAATATATTTTTTTATTTGTACAAGGATGACATTTTTATTCTATTAAAAATTTTCGCTTATTCTTACGTATTATCTTAGTTTTTATCTTAGTCATTTTGAAGACAAACGAGTCAGAACCAAAAAAAAAGTAAAAATAAAGAAACAATGATTATGTACAGTGCAAAAGAAAACCTGTGCTGTGGAGAGAGAAAGAGTAATATACACGAAAAATCGTATAAATGAAGCCATTAATCGAAATAAAAGTAAATTTTTTTTCAGAGTAATATACACGAAGAATTGTATAAATGAAGCCATTAATCGAAATAAAAAAAAAAAAGTTAATAAAAAAAAGTTTTTTTTTTGAATAAATTTCATATGATATTATTTCTGTTGGTTTTAATATCCAACATTTTTTTTAAATATTTTCTAGCCAATAGTAAAGATGTAGAAGGAGATTTGTTATTATTAAGACGACGTTTTGGTTGATGAATTGTTGGTCGTTCTTCATAAAGCTTTACGTTTTTATCATTTATCTCATCAATGGAAGAGAAATTTTTAATGGCAATACATTCAGAAGTATCCATTATTTCATCAGTTCGATTTTCAGTTCGATTTTCAGTTCGATTTTCGGATCGATTTATCGTAAATGAAGAAAACTTTGATTTTTGTTTAATAATGACACGATTGGCAGCCGTAGAGTTTATCAACTTAATGGACATACTACGTTTTGGTTTTGTAGAGGCTGAATGATAATGTCTTTTACTTGGAAATCCGGTTACGCATTGTCGTTCAGATTGTCTGTTTGGATTGAGTGCAGACGGAACTCGTGGACGATAACAATTTTCAGTCATGTTCTTTGAACTTTTCTCACAAAATTCAGAAATTGTAGGAGGTCCAGAGAATTTATTGACAAGACGATTTGATAAATCGAGTAAAGTTAAGCCAGATTTTTTTAAACTTGGCATTTTCGGTGTGTATTTGTTTTTTGGAGCACTAAAATTATTCAAAGAAAAGAAATAAATTTTCAATATACCGAAAATAAAAACTCAAGAAAAACTCAAAAAAGGTTAAGAATACTTACGATAATTTTGAAGAACGATAGTTTGTATCGATAAGAGCCAAGATGCCACGGCCAAGCATTATACACCATTTACCAAAGTCACGACTTCTATCGGTGGTGAACATTATGGTGGTTTGGGTACAAGTTGCGCAGAAACAAACAACAGAAAGTGTGATGAAACAACAAAACGATATGTAAAAAACAAAGTTTTGTAAGAATAAAAGTTCTTTGCTCGCTTTTTGTTGAGTCAAATATGACATGATAAAATGGGATTCTTAGAAACTTATATAAGAAATTTTTTGATATAAAGCATATAATATATATGTATATATATATATATGTGTGTGTGAATATATGTGTGTGTATATATCGATATATACGTATCGGGGTTTGTTTACTCGTTAACTTCTTTAATCAAATTAAATTTTGTTGAAGTTAAAAAAAACCTTTGGCTCTTTTGGGCTTCATATATAATATTTTTTTCCCGCATGTGAATCCTGCAAAACGTACGCCAAGTTGTATTGAAAAAAAAATATATATATAAATGTTTGTGTTTCATCTACAACAATAGGACATAGCAGATAGGAGAAAACGTGACATTTTAGAAATTCTTGTTAATGTAATGTCAATTTATGACGCTACAGATAATTTGCTATTGTGTTTATTTATAGTTGCTGATCTTACATATGAAAATCAAGAAATCCATCGCTTATTCCTAACAATGCACATCTATTGTTAGCCGGGTTTAATAATCCTTATCGTTATACAAATAGTCCTTATACAAAAAAAAGTATTTGATATGCAATGACATAGTTTTTGTAAATCTTTATTATTAATGGTATATTACTGTGCGTATTACCTATTAACTACTTATTTACCATTACTGGCTATCGCTACGTATGTACGTACGTACGTATCGATAATAATCGATATAATATCGATCATATCAAAAGATAATATCGAAAATATCAACGATAATATCTATATATCCTTCATTTACATGACCTAATATGTATTATTAACCTCCAAAAAACGGTTTATGATGCAAGAAAAAAAGTGTTGAATCCTTTTTAAGAATCAAAGATTTTCATATGTACATAAGTAACTTAACTTTTAATTCACTTAATTCACTTAATTCACTTAATTCACTTAATTCACTTAATTCACTTAATTCACTTAATTCACTTAAATTCACTTAATTCACTTAATTCACTTAATTCACTTAATTCACTTAATTCACTTAATTCACTTAATTCACTTAATTCACTTAATTCACTTTTAATTCACTTTTAATTCACTTAATTCACTTTTAATTCACTTTAATCACTTTTAATTCACTTTTAATTCACTTAATTCACTTTTAATTCACTTTAATCACTTTTAATTCACTTAATTCACTTTTAATTCACTTTAATCACTTTTAATTCACTTCAATTCACTTTTAATTCACTTTAATTCACACAACAAAATGGTTTCATGTAATTCGTGTTTTTGTAGATAAATATTTTAATAAAAGGTCTAATTATAGCATATAAAGTCTTAATAAAGACTTAAATTTTTTTTCTTTGTTGAAATATGTACATTATCTTTTCGGTTAGCCTGCACGTTAGCAATTCCAAACCTGAATTACCAAACGTTTACTGTGAGTTACTGTGTCAAATGTTACCAAATACTACCAAATGATATGACTACCAAACGCTATGAATATATTATTACAATCAAACTAAAAATCAAGATTGTTGTCCCCTTATTATAATTTCCAACAAAAGCACAAACTACTTTACTTATCTTCTGCAAGATTTGCCAGACACGAAAAAAGAATTCTATTATATCCTACTCCACAAATAAACATATACAAAAATAGTCAATCTTTTTTTTTCTTACTCATTACAGCATTAGATTACATATGACTTCAAATTAAAACTTGTGATTGAACGCGAATTCAATTCTAAAAATTATAAAATTAGTAAAAAATAATGCACTTGTTTTTCACCTGACCCAATGATTACCAATGATTATTACCAATGATTAATTGTTATTATTATTATTAAAAAAAAAAAAAAAAGCCAAATTGCTTGAATTAAAACTTTTTCCCATAAAGCTTTTTTTTATAGTACTGCGTCCGCGATTTTATTTGTTTCGATTTTATTTGTTTACTTTTTTGGCGGGAATCTTTCTCATCAAATTTATTTGTTCTTATTCTACGTATTAAAACTGATGTTTATCGATATGCAATAATAAATTAACTGTCACAGGAGTATGAAAGTTAATGAGTACTTAAGTACGTACGAATGTACAGTACCAACTTTAAAGTTATTAACGTTAATGTGATCTTTTTTGTTTATCATTGGTCTTTGTGATATAATGTATATAATGTGAATTTTTTATGTCACAAGTCACTTTTCTATACACTTTATATATGCAGATAGTATGCTAATATAGAAAAAGATTAAAAATTAAACTATTTGATTGACAAATTTCAAAGATCATTTAGTGGGGAAAAAATTTGGAGAAACAATTGAAAAATGTTGTTTTGATATGTTAAAAGAATCGGGTTAAAGAATAGTGGCAATTTTTTTTATTGTTTGTTGTTTTTGGTGGGGTAAAATAAGAATTTTCCAGTGTATTAGAAATTGAAGATGGACAGACGAGCTATGCCTAATATACGTACATATGTACATACGTACGTATACGTATACCTAACAACTAGTTAATGTACGTACGTATGTATATGTTATGTGTTATATGTGTGAATGGTTTTCCTATTATGGAAATCAAAGCCTTCGGTTGATTAAACTTTATCATAAAAGGTTTTAATCTCCTGTAAAATATTTCTTATTTTGTACATTTATATTAATATGCTATATATTCTTAATTCAGTTGGTTATACGTTTCACTACATATTCTTCCTTTTTAAAGTTCTATAGTCTTACTTATTTACTTGTCGCTAGTTTGCTAGTCTATTACTTGTTCTACTTTAATCATCAATGTTTGACATCAATGTGACCACAGACCAAGCCCAAACCAAAACAACGTCTATTCTTGTTGGAATTTCCTGTTCGACTTTTTTCAATTGATATATGCATATAATAGCATATAATTAGCATTTAATATACTTTCCCGGTTATTTTATCATCAGCTAAACTAAATTTATTGATTTGGCGCTTATACGTTTATCCATTTTAGCACGAGGTGATCGAGGGTCTCCGAGCTTTGCTTTAAATTCCTATTTATAGTCTTGACGTGCATACCATGTTTTATATTGAATCTATCTTCTATTGTTCTTTGCTTTCATTATTTACTCGCGTGATACTAACTTTGTTTTAATAATTATTGTTACTATATTGTTACTATTTCATTGTTTATCTAATCCTATCATTTAAGTATCATTAAAATATCATTAAATTATCCATTAAATTATCCATTAAATTATTTTATATTATTCTTACGTATTTACTTTGCCGTTATTCGGTTATTCCATTATTTCGTAATTTTTGTCTTGAATCAATTTTTAACGGATTAAAAGTTCCGTTTATACCTTTTTACTTATGACAACATTCTTTTTGTCTGTCCGTGTGTATTTTCTTGTGTATTTTCGTGCGTATTTAAATATGCTTTATTGTCTTCAAATTAAAAAATCGAACAATACTGAGTAATTCTCTTGTATACCACTTTATCTATACACCTTATCATCATATCAGTGGCATTTATCAAAATACATGTTAATAATTTTAATAATGTATATTAAACTGTTTATTTATATGTGTAAATTTATGGGTTATTACTTTTAAAATTATTAATAAAGATGTAAACTATACTAATGTAAACCTTTTGGTTCATGTTCGAAATTAATTACCCCTATAATGTATATACTTTATATACAATATTATTAATTCTAAAATATTTAAAAATTATTTTTACTATCTATAAACTATAACCCAATTTTAATTTAATAATATAGTAGCCTATTAAATTTTATATATTTTTTTATATACCTTTTATATACTTTTTATTCTTTTCAATAGTTTTACTCTTTTATATAACTATCCAAACGCTAATTTGTCAATAAAATAAGGTTTTATTTAAAGTTAAACTCAATCTCCATTAATACATTGTGTCATTAGTGATTGGCCGTTGATTATTACGTAAGATCGGCGGCGAAGGGAACAATCATTGGTTTTTTTTTTTAAGCCCAAGAGTATTCGGTAATTAGCCAAAGCATTCTTAGATTAGATTAAATCATATGAGTGTTTGTTTATGCCTTCTATGCGAGGCTCACAGTATTAGGATAAATTAGGTTTGACAGCTACGCTTCTGAGATGCTTTACCTTTAAAGAATACTACTTACTTTGATTATGTATTAAAGGATTACAAAAAACAAGTGATGTTATTGAATTTGAAAATGGTTGTATGTTTCTTTTTTCTATGAGACCGCTCAAGTTATTGTGTATTACAACATATTAATAAAAGTTTGCTGAAGCTATTGAAAGTTATTGGAAATTATTTATAAGTTATTGCAAAGTATATAAAATAAATAGCAATAAAGAGAAAAAAAATAATAAATGTATATTGTAAAAAATAATTATATACTTAACAAAGTAAATAATAAAAAAATTTAACTGTAATAGAAAATAATTATATAGTAAATAATAAAAGTTTTAGAAATAATCTACTTGTCGCCGGCGGTGACAGTACCGGATTTTATTTAGAATTATATTTAGAGTTAAAATGGGTCATAATATATGGTAAAATTATGCAAGAAATATTTTTTGTTAAGACACGGAAGTTGGTTTCATAAGCATAAATTTTGAGTTATTTGCAACTCTTTCTGACAATCACTTGGTTAACAACAATCTACTGAACTACAGTCAACAATATAGAAAAGCAACATAGTGAATACAACAATATTCCTAGTTTTGCAATAAGCAAACTTGTTGTTGATGAAGCCTACAATATATAAAATACTGAGGAGTGGGCATATAAGAATATTAGGTGGGTTTGTGCCTTGGGTTAAGTTTTCCTTTCTTCAACAGACTCCCTAGCACGTTTGGTATCCAAACTAAAAGATCTATTCTAAGAACAAGTAGAGCAAAGTCTCTGGGCAGGAATATCTTGTAGATACTAAGAAACTGGACTATACAACTGTAAAACTTACAAAAAGAACCTCACATATTCTTATTGATCCACCACTTTTTTCAGGAAAAATTTTGTAAAAAAGTGGACAATTTAGCTTACCCCCTTCTAAAGATCAACATATTGTTTATTTACCAAATCAGTTG